CATATTTATGTTAACCCTAAAATTAATTGATTAATTGTTTAACCCTTGTACCCGTCGCTTTTTTGGTGCTTCGCACAGCTACCTCGGCAGCTGCTCCCCATCTCTCCCCTCAATGACCATCACAACCCATTGGAAGTCTATTGCCCTCTTATGCATAGGAACTCCGGTTGTCTGCTATAGTATATGGTATCTTCTTAAATCCAGTAAGTTTTTACTGCAAATCCTTTTGCGCCTTAACGAAGTATATTACTGAATTTAACCATAGGACATCGGACGGCATCATGCTCAAGTAAAGCGGCTGATTACTCCGAGGATGAAGCAACTAAGTCACCTTATGATCAAGCGATGTTTTTCAAGAACCGAGGAAATAAATTTTTTAAGGCTTCGCGCTACGAACAAGCCATTGAGTGCTACACAAATGCTCTTAAATGCTGCCCCGAGGAGGCCGTGAATGTAGGTACAGCCCTCATTTATACCGTTCTAACATTGCTTAAATAAGATGTGCCTATTTTGAGTTTAAAATTCCAAAAAATTGCACCTGTCTTTGCAGGAACGCGCAACATTTTATCAAAATAGAGCCGCTGCAAATGAAAATCTGAAAAATTTTGAAGCTGCCCTCAGTGACATTAATTCAGCTCTTGAGCTCTCTCCTAAGTATCTTAAGGCCCTTAATCGTAGAGCGCATTTGTTTGAAAAGCTGGATCGACTGCAGGAGTGCCTCCTTGATGTCACTGCATGCTGTATATTCGAACAGTTTCGGAACGCTGTAAGTACTCGAATCCCGATATTCATTCATACCTAATAATATTATCTGATTGCCTTTTCTTTAAAACCTGGCAGGTATATATTACTTACCTCGAATTCTTTATTAGGGTTTTTGCTCTATTCATAATTCTCGACCCACAAAATGTTGATGAATGGTGATCTCATCGCCTATCTGTTGCCCGATGTTTTACCTCTTTCATTCGTTGGGCCCATAATACTATCTGCACCTGACCATAAATTTTAGCCTCGGGAGTACTGATTTGCTTGTATGTCTTTGAATCTTTTCCTCTAGGATTCTCGTATTTAATTTTCCGTTCTATTCTTTTCTCTTGGTTCCGTTTATTCATGGTAGATAGAGTACTTTGTTTTTAACTGCATGCCCTGTCCCCAGACAAATTCACCTCTTGTAGTATAGGCCTTCTCTATATTTTATTGGTCATTCGCCGTTTCACGTTACTACTGCGCCCTAGATTTACTCTTATTATAACCTTTATAACGTACAGGAAAATGTGCTCTGTGTTGATCGTGTTCTAAAGCGGCTCGGCCAACAAAAAGCAAAAGAAGAGCGTCCCAATCTACCACGAGAATTGCCATCCACACTGTTCATCCAAAATTACTTAGGGTGAGTGTCTTCTCTTGCTACATTTAATGACTTGTTCTTCGCGACTAAATCTAGTTGTATTATTTATTACCGGCTTCTGAATCTATTCATTTATCCTGCATCTACGGATCTATTTTGCATATGAGTTGATCAATAAATTTTCTGGTTTGTTAAAAAAGGCCTGCAAGTAAATATGTCCATTAGTTCGTGAATAAAGCATCGTCAGTACAGCATTTTTTAGCAGTTCGCCCACAAATTGTTTTGTTAGTGATGCAAATATCTCAGGGATAATGATGATGAGCGTATTATACCTGAGTATATAGCCATATAAGAAATAAAGCATAAAACAAATTGAACAATAGTGCATTTGCTGCATGAATTGAGTCGCATAGGTAAGCCGTTTTATATCAGACTGGTTAAATGACTCTGTCTCGTTCTGTCAAGGTATGGTGCATTCGAATACTTACATGTTCTTACGACAGAACGAGGTGATGCC